TTTCCCTTCTCTGGCTCCGAAGGTTTGTTAATCTTTATCTTTGAATTTAAATTCTTTTTCCAGGTCATGGAACAGTGCATAGGCAGACTAGATGTTGCAATGTTCAATGCTATACTGCGGGAGTCAGTCCACGAGATTCCAACTGATCCTGTATCAGACCCTATTGTGGATTCAAAGGTTCTGCCAATTCCAGCTGGAGATTAAGCTTTGGGTCTGGTGCACAACTTAAAAATTCTGTGCGTTCCTTTTTCTTGCAACTTCTTGTTTCCATACATTATTTGAACATGTGTTGAATCATAATGGGAAATTATGAGAAGAAACAAAATTTGGGGGGTCATAAAGATATATATAACTATTATTAATACCAGCTATGAATTTTTTCAGAAGCCATGAAGATATGAACAATACAACTCACATCAAATTGTGTTTACATGGAAAAACGAATCAAGTTTCGTATAATGTGGATTTCTTATCCCAGAATTTAAGCCTATAAGAATTCTAGTTTGACGAAGAGCTAACTGAAATGCAGGTAGGAATTGGTCTCGATGGCTTACTGACATGTTTGGGATGGATGCTGAAACCTGTGCACCTGAAGATGAGAACTGTGAACATGACAGGGCGGGTGGAGATGGTGAACCTCAATCTTTTCCTCTCCTGAACGATTTGAGTGACCTCCTTATGCTCCCAAAAGACATGCTTATGGACAGACATGTCAGACAAGAGGTTCCTATGAACTAATTCTACTGTTCATAGAAGGACATTACCTTAGCTTTTCTTTTGCTTGCGAGCTCACTTCCCCTCACTTCATTATATTTATGCCACACAGGTCTGTCCATCTATTAGTCTTCCATTGGTTAAACGGATACTCTGCAACTTCACTCCGGACGAGTTCTGTCCAGACCCTGTTCCTGGTGCCGTCTTAGAAGCGCTGAATGCCGAGGTATGATCTACGCTTCTTTCCTGTTTAGGCTATGTTTTTGGCGGAGGGCTGTTCATATACTATCTTTTTACTCGACAGCACTGCATATATCTTGCGCTGTGGAAGTGTTAAGACGAAGTTGTTGAATATATTATTGAATTTGGTGTTTTAGTTTATTGCGGAGAGAAGATTGTCAGGAGACTCAACCAGAAGTTTCCCATATGCTGCTGCTCCAGTTGTGTATAGCCCTCCTTCCTCAGCTAATGTGGCAGAGAAAGTTGGAGACGCAGGATGCAAGTCTCACTTGGCAAGAAATGCGTCAGCTGTTCAGCGGAGAGGCTATACGAGTGATGAGGAATTGGAGGAACTGGAATCTCCTCTTACATCCATCATTGATAAACTGCCTTCATTTCCATCAGCTCATGGACAAGACAAGCCCAATGAACTAAACACTCGCACCAGCACCAATGCTAGATACCAGCTCCTTCGTCAAGTCTGGTCCACGTGAAATGTGCAGAAAAGATATTTTGGGGGGAGGGGGGGACGAAAAAGAATAGAAAGATTCTAGATGACTGAAAATCTCGAGTTATAATAATCCGACTTAAGCCGGTATATATGATCAGGTCCTGTGTAGCGTAGCGTTGAATCATTTTTACTGTTTACCAAAGAGTCTGTTATGAAAAAACAGTGCACAGAAACCTTATATAATGTTTGAGGTTACTGTTTCTTTGCTTCTTGGTTGGAATTAAAATGGGTTTGAAGAAAGATAAAGATGAGGGGCATTATTGGTAGCTCGTGTGTTTTCTAATCTGGACTTTATATTTAAATTGAAAATATACTCATCTTTCTAATGTGTAAAATATATTAAAATTTGTGAGGAGATATTGAAGGATTAAAGATGAAATTGTACAGATGTGAAAAATTCAACAGAGCGGAGAGAATGAAAAGGATTGCATGGATGTCAGAAGGATAATCTCCTTTCTAATTAATATTTGCAACGCAGTGGTGGATTTTTTTTTTAGTGCTTGTTTTTTTTTTTTTTGACCGGATTTTTAGTGCTTGTTTGGAACCATTTAATATAAGTATTTATAAGCATATTTACATAAATTAAGATATAACGTCCCTTTTGAAAATCCTATCATCATTCTAAATAAACTCTTATTCATGCTTCAAAGTAAGATGATAGTACCATGTCAAAAAGACTACGATTTCGATAGACGTGTAATTATTTGTATAAAAAGTGTATTTTATGTTTTAAATGGGTATGCATTATCAATCCCGCCATCCATGGCCAGTTTAGGTGTCGTTCTTGCTCCTAAAATAACCGCTAGAAATACAGGTGAAGCGTAATACAAGTTGATTAGACATCACTAGGCCATAATTGAGAAAGAACACCATCATTATAGTTCTATAATGTCTCAAAGTTACCTATTGTCATGATACCTTCGATCTGGTTAATATTTAAAATCATTTCGTTTTTACTCAACATGCCTTCTTTTCTTCATGGAATCCAGGCGCAAAGTCTATTCGACCAAGTTGAATTCACAGGCTGGATTCCATATTTCAAAGAACATTTCAAAAATAAAAGAATACATACTTAATCGACGCGACTTCGAAAAGTTCTATAAAGAAAATATCTAGTTTGGAAGAAATACGCTATAATATGCTCAAATCCTAATTGTGCTAAAAGGAAAGAGTTGAACTCGAAAGCTTGGAAATTTATTCTTATTAAAAAAACCGCGAGATGATCATGTTTCCAACGTCATAAAAGGGGCGAAATTTGTCTTGATGCTCTGTTTTTCTAACACCCTACGCTCACTAATTGTCCTCCCCTCCCACAATCTTTCTGCGACCGCTTCATCGTGAATTGATGCCTGACAAACGACAATCATTGACATTCGATATCGGAAGGATTTCGTGTATATATCAGTGGTCAAAACCCTAAAACAGAACCCGATACAAAACACGAATATCGTCGTCACCTTAACATTCTGTTACCACAAATCATCATCAGATATCAAAAACAGCTTACAAAATAAAACTGCATTTACATACAAAAGATTCAACGAAAAATCGACCCTCAGGGTTACGATTTCATATTGGAATCGAGGGTTCCTCATTCGAATCCTGAGAATTTGCAGCGATGGTTTGTGACTCAAGGAACTGAAGAGCTCGAACAACTTCTACCATCGATGGTCTTTTTTCAGGCACCACGGAAGTGCAACGAAGAGCGATTTCCAGAGCTCCAATCATTTCTCGCTGACTGGAATGTGATATTTTGGGATCAAGTACTTGAGATCCCATCAGTGATGTTCACTCTCCTTCGAACCCACTTCACTATGTCAAGAGATTCTGTTGATATTGTTTGCTCTGCTTGCTTCCCAGTCACAAGCTCTAGCAATAAAACACCATAGCTGTATATGTCCAATTCTTCAGTTGGTTTCTTACTGTACCCATATTCTGCAATAAACAACCACCCCTTCTATAAAGTTAATATCTTTGTGATCTAAACCTTTAGTTTGCCATCCAAAACTAACCCATTTTATAAGAAATTAATAACGGCTTTAGCGTAGTAAGTTGTCATACCTGGAGCATTATAGCAGGAAGATGCTGCTTCAGAAGCAACAGTTGACTGAAATGCGGCTTCTCCCACGATTCGATCAAGAGCGAAATCTGTGAGTTTCGGCTCAAAGTTTGAATCCAGCAGAACGTTCCTGGACTTAACGTTTCTGTGAAGCAAGTGAGGAACATAGTCATTGTGAAGATAAGCTAGTGCTTGAGCGACTCTGATGGCAATCCTCAATCTTGCCTCCCACTGCAACTCAAAATCCTCACGGGAAATCAAGTCCCCTAAGCTTCCTTCTCGCAAGTACTCATAAATGAGAAAGATTGACTCATCAGAATGGCAAAACCCCAGGATTTTAACAACATTCTTATGCCTAATCTTAGCCAATGTCTTGACCTCAGCTTTCAAACTTTTTGACGTCTGGTTGCCAAAATTGACTAGCTTCTTTACGGCCACTTGTTCACCGCTAGGTAAACTCACAACATAAACTTTGCCAAAAACACCCCCATTTCCAATCAAGCTTTTCTCATCCATTCCTATAAGCAGATCTTGCTCAGTAATTCTAAGGGGATAGAAGAACACTGAGCGCCAAAATCCTATTTGATTCCTCTTGCTAAACTTCCTATACAAAATAAATCCACCAACAAACACCGCAGTTCCCACAACGAATGCTACAGAGATAAGGGCACATGCCAGCGGAGTGAGACCTCCGGAATGGTCTCTTGGAGGGTCATCAGAACAGGAAGTGGGTAATCCAGGGCCACAAAGTTCAGGGTTTCCTTCCAAAAATGAAGCAGGAAGACCAGAAATCAGGGAATAAGGTACCTTGCCAGATAGCTGATTGAAGGACACATTGAAAAGAGCAAGCTTTAAATTTTGAAGTCCTAGTGGTATTGAGCCTGTGAGATTGTTAGCTGAAAGATCAAGGTAAGTTAGCACTGGCAAGTCAGCAAGGGAAGGAGGGATTTGTCCGGTAAGACTATTGTCTGCTAGAGACAATGAAACCAGTTTCCTGCATTTGGTCAGCTCTGGGATTGGACCAGAAAGGGAATTGTGAGAGAGATTCACAATACTCATAACAGGGGAATCACAGAAGTTTACAGGAAGTTCTCCGTAGAAACGATTGAGAGACGCAGAGAATCTGTATAAGCTCTTGACCAACCCAAGACTCGAGGAATTTTACCAGCAAAGCTGTTATTGTCAAGCTGAACTTGCTCCAACTGAACAGCTCCCGATATGGATTCAGGTATTTGTCCTGAGAATCTGTTGTTTTCAGCTCTAATGAGCTTAACTTTAGGTAATGACCATAACGAAGAAGGGAAGTCTCCAGTTAACTCGTTGTTCTGAACTTGAAATCTCTCAAGATTCTTACATTCACCAATGGTGTTGGGCATTGAACCACTGAAAATATTTGTATGGAGACTGAGATTTATGAGACCTTTTGCATTACAAACGCCATTTGGTAGTGACCCCGAAAGCTTGTTCTGTGAAACATCAAAGGACACCAGGTTCTTGAGAGAAGACACCAGACCCTGAGAAATCTCACCGGTTAGATTGTTCTGGGAGAGGTCTAAATGGGTCAAACTACGCAGGTTCGCAAAAGAATCCGGAATTTCACCGTGAAAACCAGAACTTTGCAACAGAAGTTGCCTGAGACTTCCAAGTTCGCCCATACCCTCTGGAATCTCACTTTCCAAGTATGGATTTTCAGACAAGTCAAGAACGGCAAGCTTAGTTAAATTCACGAAGATAGCAGGCACATCACCTGATAGTAGGTTACTTCCCATGTTAAGGACTTCGAGATTCTTCAGGGAGCCCAAGCTTTCTGGGATATTTCCTTCGATGTGATTTCTGCTGAAATCAAGCACTCTCAATGAACCAAACTGAGAAATCTGCATTGGGATGGTTCCCCATATGAGATTATTACTGAGATTCAAAGTCTGTAACGAACTACACTGAGAAAGATGGAGAGGGATGGGCTGGTTGAATAAATTATCAGCAAGATTGAGGTATGACAGATTTGGAAGATCACATATCGAAGACGAGAGGTCCCCAGAAAGGTTCAAGTTTTGAAGATTAATGGACGTGACAGAGAGGGAAGGAGAAGTGGAGGAGCAGGCGATTCCGGTCCAGTTACAGTAGTGAGTGGAGGAAGTATTGGACCAGCTTGACAGAGCCTTCCTAGAGTCTTCAATGGAGGCCTTGAAGGAGAGAAGGATATCCGCCTCTGATGACGAAGATGAACCAAGATTGAACGTTGTGAAGGTCACAGAGAGAAGGAACAGGTATATACAGGATGTAGCCATTAGCTAGGTGTCTGGAAGCAAGAGGGCTTGCTCTGTGTTGTCTTCAATGCTTTCCTTTGTATATATCAGTGAGTTGCGAGTGTGACGGGATTGGTATTAATGAACGTCGATGATGGACCAAGAGGAAAAGGGTTTACGTGCGATAACTCATCATAGCTAACGGGAATTTTGTCATGAAAAAATTATCCAAAAAAAAAAACTTTTTTTCTTAAAAGAAAACTCCAACATATCATATTTCATCGTGTTTTCACCTTTTTGTAAGACAGTACAAGCATTGATGCGTGCCTGCCGAGTTCCTTCTCTGCATTTCCAGTTTGTTACCCACCAATGCTTTATTGTTTTTGGCCCTGGTTTTCACTTTAATAGTATGTTTATCGATAATTACTTTTACCAAATCTCTCCAAAAGAGAACCAAGCCAACACAGCATCAGCACAGAATCCATCCACCCATTGACCCTAGAAGAGAAGAGGATCGGGGATATGGGTTTTTCAACGCTGAAAATAGAATCCTAAGAAGATAAAAACAAAGTATGGGGTTCACTCAGGATTTGACATTCCACCACCCAAGCAGAAACCTTATTAAGGAGGGAAATAAATTCAATGTACCTCACTGCATTAAATTGAAGACGGATGATGTTTGGCATGTTGGGGAGATCCCAAAATCCATGGCTCGAAGGTCACATGGCCATTTTGTCAACTTCTGTCCCGAGATGGGGTCTTCCCCATTGACTGTCAGAAATCAGACGGTTTACATCTCCGAGGATTTCCCGTTAAGGATTAAAAATTATGAAACACATAAATTAATTAATATCTATATCCAAGACAAGAATATGTGGATTAAAAATTGAAGAGTGGGTTTCT